AGGTTTAAAATCTTCATATATAAATCTTTAAGTTTTTCTTTTAAACTACCCAAGTTTGTTTGCTTTTCATTCATAAATACGAGCTGTGTTTTCCATTTTGAAGTCAGTTTCTTCATGTCCTACATTTTAGCTTTACCTTTATTCTAATAAAGACAAGAAAAAGTTTAACACACAAAGAAAAATATTTCACCCTGACTGGTGTGGCACAGTGGTTGAGTGACAGCCTGCAAATCAAAGGGTTGGTCACCAGTTCGTTCCCAGTCTAAGGTTCATGCCTGGGTTGTGGGGTCAGGTGGGGGGGCGGTGGGGGGGGCATGCAAAAGGCAACCATACATTGATGTTTCTCTCCCTCTCTTTCTCTCTCCCTTTCCCTCTCTAAATAAATAAAATCTTTAAAAAGAAAAAATAAAAATATCTCAATTTCAGTCCTGGTTGGAGTCCAGGCTTTTTGGTAAATTATACCTTATTGGCTTATTTTCTCCTATACATTTTACCTACATCCTAAAGGACAGGCACATGGCATAATGTAGAGCCAACTGATAACTGAATAATTAATAGTGACCCTCCCAACTGGCCTTTTCCTATGACTCACAACTGTCCCTACAATCTGCAAGTGACCCCAAAGACACAGCTGACCTCCTACCTCTTCTAGTGACTTTCAAATGTTGGGATATTTGTCTTTTCCAATTCACATTGTCTTTTATAACCATTACTGTGGTTTCACTAAGGTTTGATCTCACATTTTAGAGAATGGGAAGTACTGATGAATCTTGTTTTATGTTATGAATTATTATACTTTGGCAAGAATATTTCTACAAAACTTTTAGTATGCCCAGAGGCTAATGTGCAATTTATTAGAATAGAAAATTATAATTTAAACGTACATCTTCAGAAGCCACATGAAGACTGAAAAACCAGTCTTAATACAGATTTCCAAGAAATAAAAGTCCTACTTTAGGTAAAGGACATGGTTCAAATATTCTTTGCATTGAAAGAGCAGGCAGGCCAGGTGTTTGGGATTTTTGAGACACCTGCACTGGACTTCCTTATAAAGTGATCAAGTAAAAGGGTACTAATGTAAAAGAGGATTCCTGAAACCTAGAACAGTCTAACCAATCAAGGCAGAAACTTGCTTAAAATAGGGCAAAGAAAAGGTGCTTTTAAACCTCTAAAAAACACTCAATAATAAAATTTACTCTGGGACAACCAACTGAAGACTACATACTTAGTATGCACGATTCCCTCCTTTCCAAACTCAAGGGAATGGAGAGATCCTTGGGAGGGGGGAACAATCAATTTATTTTAAAAAATCTCTCCAGAGAAAGGAAGTCACTTAAATTTGTCTTAATGGTCTCAGGAAGAAAAAAAACCCTACCAAGCCCCCCAAGCAAGCAGATAAAATATGAGGAATAAGCATTTTCACAGGATTTAAACACAGGATTTTCAATGACTACTGTTTAGAAAACACAATATGGACTAGTATGATTTTTTTTACATTTAAAAACGGTTTCTAATATGACAAGACAACGAAGCTTTATTCACAAAAGTTCCTAACTAGAACCAAATACTAAAATATCTTCCTAAACCAACAATATCCACCACATGGCCCTATGTTTACAGGTTATATGAGTCAGGTTATAGCAACAACACAAACCTAAAACTTGTTTTCACTTAGAAATACAATGGAAATTTATGGCTATTCAATAAAATTCAGAGGATGCAGGTTACAATATAGCATTACTAGAGATGGAAGAGTATTGGCAATATTTGAAGAAGAAAAAAGTGGAGTAGTTATTTTCTTCTCACCTTGATAAAAGTTAAAAAGTAAACTATAAGGCTTACTCATTTTCTAGCTTCCAAAATTTTCCTCAACAGGATAATGATAACCCATCTAATAATCAAAGAATGCTCTCAAGATTTAGCCATAGAACTCATATGTGTAGGCAAGAAAACCAGACAAAAGGTTAATATCTGACTTTGGTAAAGCACAAAAGTCAAATACTAATGTTCTGAATGAGGCTTTCAGGAAAGAAGCAGGAACATCTCTCAATACTTCACTTCATTAGAGTACACAGGTAGGATAGAAAACCCACCCTCCTCAAGGTTCCATCAATATTTAATTGATTACTCTCTTAACTGTTTACAGGCACAAATCAAAAATACTTATCTCACATATATTTCAATGAAACAGTCATCAGAGACCCAACCATAATACAGGTGTTAAGAATCTTTGTCACATCTAATGTCTTTCTCCAATGAGTGCACACTTGAGAAACAAAGTTAATCACCTCCAATCATGAGATCACTAACAAATACATCAAATATTCTAAAGGTCAAAAGAACTGCATACTTTGTTGGAGAAACCTCATGGAAATTGAAATCAAAATCCCATGACCAAAATCAGAAGTATAGATCAGCTCTCCCACAATTATAATACATATTTTAAATTCTCACAAGATGAGCATTTTTACCTTGCCTTATTTTTAGAACTACACATCACACTGCTCATATCACATGACATGATGTAACTGTTAGGAAAGAAAATGACCCAAACCATTGAAAATATACATAGTAAGAGGACAACAATGAACGCATTTTTAAAAACCACTACACTTCATATTTACTTTAAAAAATGTTTCTTAAACCACAGTATTTTTTTAAATTATAAAAGTGGCTAGTATCCTGTGTAGAAAAACAGCAATATGCTTGGTATTTTATAAAGCAGGAATTTACCCAATTATTAGGAAAACTGGTATAAAGAAACAGATACGTGAACATTCATTTAAACCCACAGGATTAAAAACAAAATTTCTCCAGATCAAAAGCACAACAGAAAGGTAATAAAATATCTCTAAATAAAATACAATTATTACTCAAAAGTATTTACTGTTGTTAGGAGATAAAAATAGCTTTAACTGACAAAAGTGCATAAAATTGAAAACTTCTGAATTGGTCAGACAGTATGTTAGAAACGGAATCAAGTATAGCCTGTGGAAGTGGGGAGGGGAAAACACACCCACTTAAACCTTTATAAATAGTGGCACTTGAAATGACCCCAAAAGTAGGAAAAATAGAAATTATACTATTCTGACATGAAAAACATATTCCGAGGCACTACTTTTCCATTCTTTTAAATGCTTTAAACACGAAGTTCGGTAACAATCTATAACTATATCATGATTATGCAAGGCAAAGATTATGTAATTTTATCGTTTTTCAGAAATGTTCTCTGACTCTAAAACTAAAACAACTAAAACGTTTTACTCACTCCAAAGGGGAAGGGGTAGGTTCTTCTGGTGATTTTAAAAATATAAACACACCCCAAACAAACAAAAAAACCCACAATGATTGCTAACCACGTGACAAAGGAGATGGCAACACCGGGATTGTGAATGGAGGGGAGGGAGGCGAGGCAGGACTAGGGAGATCTCTCGGAACTTTGGGGACCTTGGGATTCGCGTCTCCCGACCCTTAAGATACCAGACTCTAGCTCTACGAGTTGTACTGTTAATGTTCTCAAGTACGTTTTTATTAATAGGTCACGAAAAGTGCACCAGTGACCTCTAGAATAAAGGGGAAAAACGGAGGAGGAGGAAAGAGCAATTTAAAGTGGCGCCATCATGTCACTCCTTCTCCCCTAAGGCAATCCAATAAGCAATAGTTAGGTAACGTGTTTCTCAAAAATACCACACTGGGAAAATGGAAAACAAAAGGGTTTTTAAGTAAAATATGAGGCTACTGTTTATCACATGGAAGAACAACCAAAACTATATGCCGAGAATCAAAAGACCGTCAGCCGGAAAACAGGCCCCCCAAACTCACTTAAAAGCAAATAAATGCCTCTTCCTCTTTAGTTAAAAAAAAAAAAAAAACACGTCCGCCTGAGGGAAACCAGATCTGAAAACCTAAGTGACCTCAATTTACAGGCAACAAAAATAAATGAAACAAATAACCATCTAACTAAACAATCAAGAGTTGTGATATACACCGAGAAACATGCAAGATGTGTGTTTCGAGCAGTGAAAGGCCTTTTGCAGTGAAGAAGTTCAAGGCAAGAGCCAGAGTTTGTTTTTGTTGTTTTTTTTTTTTAACGGGAATAAATCGTGTTCTTAAGGCCTCATTTTTAAATAGAACGCCAAAGGAAAAGCTGGCGAACGAGGCGGCAGCTGGTGGGGAAGGGCCCCCGCACACCCCCGCCCTTGGGGCGACTCCCAGCCCCAGACCCGCAGCGGGGAAGCCCAGAGAGGCCATTTAAAGTTCCGGGGATTTTTCCTGCCCTGCCCTGCCTTTCCAGTTACAACTAACAAAGAGAGGGAGAAATGGGAGCCACAGGGAGAGCGAGGAGAAGGAGAAAGGGCAGCGGGAGGAGGTGGAGGAAAGGAGCAGCAGCAGCAGCACCTACCACGTGATGGAGGAGCGTAGCCCGGGCGGATTCAGCCCCACAAAATGGGCGCAGTTTGCAAACAGCCCCCGGCCTGGGCGCCGAGAGCCGGCGGCGGGCGGGGGCGCGCGGCGGCGGCTCCGGCCCGGGCCCCCCGCTCTCCTCCCCCCCGGCGCCCGGAGCCGCCCTGACTTTCCGGGCGGGGGGGCGAGGCGGAGGGGGAGGGGAAGGCGGCGGGGAGCGGCCGCTTTTTCTTCTCTTTTGGACCCTTTCTCCGGCCTTCCTCGGCTCCGGCGGGGCCTGGGCACGGCCGGGGACCGCAGCCCGGCGGGGAGGACGGGCGGGCGGGGGCAGAGGGTGAAGCCGCCCCCCCCCGCCCCGCACAAACAAGCGCCGCCGTCTGCAGCCCGAACCCGCACCCCGGCCGCCACCCGCAGATGTCTCTTCCTGGCCGGGGAGCGCGCTCTGGCCGTCCCCCGCGCCGCAGCGGCGAGACGAGTCGGCTTCGCTACGGTGCTCAGTTCTCCCGCCGGTTCGGTGAGCGGTGGCGGCGGTGGCGGCGGCACTGGGAAAATGGCGGCCGAGCTCCTTTTCCCTCCCCCCCTTTAATCTGAAGCGGAGGGAGAATGGAGCGAGCGAGCGAGCGGGCGAGCGCCGGGGACACGGGGAGGAGGGACAGCAGCGCCTCCGCCGGCTGCGGCTGCGGCGGCGAAGGGCCGCTCCGCCCCGGCGCGCCGCCAGGGGGCGCCCGTCGCACCGCCCCCACGGGCCGCCAGGAGGCGCGGCCGCAGTCGCCGCCGCCGCCTCAGTCATGGCTCCTCGTCGCGGCCGCAGTTGCTGCACCTCCGTCTGTGGAAGCCACGGCACAGGGCCCCAGCTGCTCCAAGACGTGTGGCGGCGGCGGCGGCGGCGGCACACGGCACTGCGGCAGGCGGGAGCGGGCCCTTGCTTCGGCTGAGGTGAGGCTAACCTGAGGCACTGACGCCGTCACGTTCCCTCTGCGCTGGGGCTGGTGGGGCCGCGCGCCGGCTATGAGGGACAAGGCGGGCAGGAGCGGTGGACCGAGAGGACGTGGACGAGGAATTGTTTGCACTGTGTAATAATGCCCGTAGGCTATTGCAGACGTTGCCACCCTATTCCAGGGCTAACGTGCGCTGAATCGGGTAGGAAGCTACTCGGCCAGTGAAGCGCTTCCTGTCGCCCTTTGTCCTAGCAGTCTGCCTCCGTACACTGCAGCACGCCTGGGCACTAGCCCCAGCGCCGCGCTCCGCAGCCGCCAGGGTAAAAAAAAAAAAAAAGAAAGAAAAAAAGGCGCACGTCGTCATTGCGCAGGCGCGGGCCACGGCCCGCGCCGGGCAAGCCCTTGCGGGAGAAGCTGGGAACAAGAGGGGAAGTGAAGGTCCACCGCCGGGCTCGCTGGGAACTGTAGTTTTCGTTAAGAAGCACGCGTGTTGTTTTGGGTGTCATGGCTTGGCAGATCCGCCAAAACAGGCAAGTGGCATTACACAATGAGTATTTATGTTTCCTGTCACCACCGAAAGGAAGTTTACTGCTATGTGCTAAAAGTTTAACAAAGAACTCTATAAAGAAACCCAAATCTCAAGAAAAAGCAAATTTCCAACCTTCCTACCATTGGTCTAAAGTAAGTGGCGCTTTATCATTTTCTCATGACCAGTTTGTCAGTATTTTATTCACTTCCCAAAACAAGGTCTTAAAATAATAGAAACTTTTCTAGGTTAAAAAAATAAAATCAGTAATACAATGCAAAGTGTGACATTTACACAAATTATATTCCATCAACCTTTAAAGATAAAGTTGCCAAAAGATGAATTAAGTGCTTTAAGATTTAAAAAACAAACCCTCTAGGATTCATCAAAATATTATTTTAAATGACTGAATCAAAAATGTTTCCAACAATTCAATCATCAAATTCAGCAGATGGGGAGAGAATGTTCTACTACCGAAAATGAAGATGAGAAATGCTCGATACTGTTTTGTGGCTTACCAGAACCAATATCCGGTGGTATGCCTCACTTCTGTTAGTCAGAAAAACAGCTTTGGCCCTCCCACAAAGTTACACTAACTCACAGCTCCTATAGCATCTGCACCTATATTTTCATAAGTTTCCATTTGTATTCTTGAAATCATTCTCTCATAGTTCTTCTCAAATACCAAAAGCAACCAATTAAGAAAGTCACCAAGTCAGATTACATAAAGAATAAACTAATATATGTAAATATGTTTGTATACACATCCAGAGATCCTACTCTTGACTTTTTAATGTATAATCCTGGAGAAGAATATTTAGTTGATTAAAAAATGTACACAAATATATCTCCATATAAAAATAATTCCACAAAGTGTAGCGTAAGGGTGTTAAACATACAATTCAAGGACCAATAGATGGCGAACTAGAGCCCTAATCTGAGGCTTCTGAAATCCAAAGGAGCAGAATGAAAAACACCAAATAAGGCAAAGTCCTTTGCAATGTATACTTAAATATGTTCAAAGACACCCACCACAAAATAATCTTACTGCTGCTTCAACTTTTGAAACTCAACTGCTAGATTTAACTAGGCCCCCAAATAGCCAAGGTTATAAAATACATTTTTTCAATGGATTTCCTCTTTCGAAGGAAAGAAGTGGAAATGCTCTTTTCAAAACATTCATTTTAGGAAAAAATAAATTCCAACCTTCCCATTCTCTCATTGCTTAGCTCAAGAGTCAGGAGATCACGGTGTTTATGGCACATGAATCAGTCACCCTCTTTTTCACTCAGATGTCTTTCTGGTTAGGCACCAATTTTTACAAATAAGGATATTCGAAGATGAGCTACTGCAGACACAAAAATCTTAGGGAGAGAAATACATTTTTTTTAATTTCCCCCAGAAACACAGTAGATATCAAAACTGATTAAAAACACACATTACATACTACTCACTTTTCAAATCACTGTTGTAACAGACATTTGTGATTGACTCTCCCATATCCTCTATCCTAATGGATTAATTTTAACCCATTCTTCTTTGCCTATGATTGGGAATGGGCATGGAACCCAATCCCAGCCAATAAGACATGAGTGAAAGCCCACTGGAAGATCTCCAAGAGATAATTGTGAGAAAAATTTCTTCCACCCTAAAGATGAGGAAGATACACTCCCTCTTCCTCCAATAGTGCTAAACATGACACCTCAAACCACTAGTTACTTTATAGGAAGCCTGAAGATGCCACCAATATCACAAGGTGAAAGAGAGTTGGCAGGAACCTTGGTCTTTGCCCTGGCTGGTGTGGGTAAGTGGATTGATTTGAGTACGGGACTGTGAACAGGGCACATGCCTGCGTTGCAGGCCAGGTCCCCCAGTAAGAGGTGTGTGAGAGGCAACCACACATTGATGTTTCTCTCCCTCCCTCACCCTCTCTAAAATAAATACAATCTTTAAAAAAAACATTTATTTTACATAACATTATTTATTCCTCAGGAAGGCCCTTCCTATATACAACTCTATACTGATCCATGCCTTGCTTAATCTGTGTTCTTTCTGCCCAGAAAAAGAGAACCATCCCTCCTCACCATCATTCCTTATTCGTTCCTCTCTTGCAATTCCCAACTTATTTTTCCCTCAAGATATGTTCTACCACACAACCATTATCCTTTACTTACTTCACTTAATAGCCTTGGCTGGGTTGTCCAGTTGGTTACAGCGTCGCCCAATATGCCAAGGTTACAGGTTCGATCTCCCGTCAGAGCACACACAAGAATCAATCAACCAGGTTCTTTCCTTTCTGCTGTAGGCCCCTGTGGCTGCTGTCAAAACGGGCAAGTTTATGAAACCCAGGAAGGTGGTACTGGTCCTGGCTGGATGCTACTCCAGACGCAAAGCGGTCATCGTGAAGAACATTGATGATGGTACATCAGACTGCCCCTACAGCCATGCTCTGGTGGCTGGAATTGACCGCTATCCCCACAAAGTGACAGCTGCCATGGGCAAGAAGGAAACTGCCAAAAGGTCTAAGATCAAGTCTTTTGTGAAAGTTTGTAACTACGATCACCTCACGCCCACAAGATACTCTGGATATCCCCTTGGACAAAACTGTCAACAAGGACATCTTCAGAGACCCTGCTCTGAAACACAAGGCCCAATGGGAGGCTAAGGTCAAGTTCCAAGAGAGGTACAAGACTGGCAAGAATAAATTGTTCTTCCGGAAGCTGTGGTTTTAGATCTTTTTTTGTTTCAGGCATTAAAAAAAAAAACAAAAACAATCAATGCATAAATAAGTGCAACAACAAATCGATGTTTTTATTTCCCTCCCTCTTCCTCTCTCTCAAATCAATCAATAAAAAATAAAAATAAATAATACGGGTAACTGGTACAATATTACCCTGCTCTTGATTAAATGCTAATTCCCCTGAGGTTGTTATCATATATCATTCTCACTTCCTGAAGCTGGCCCGGAAGCCCTAAAGGCAAGAAATAAGGATATTCCAACTTCAGATTTATTATTCTCATCTGTACAATAAATATTCCAAAAAGGCACTAATTTCCCTAACCATATATTGTATTTTCTAACAAGCCAGAAACTCCGACACAGAATATTCTATCACATATCCAGTACTTCACATGTCCAAACTAATCTCACAAGGACAAGAGATTATTTTGTTCTGTGTGTTTTAAAAAGCAATTATTAGCCCTGACCAGTATGGTTTAGTTGGTTGGGCGTTGTTTTGCAAAGTGAAAGGTCACAAGTTCAATTCCCAGTCAGGGAACAATGCCTGAATTTCAAGTTTGGTCCCTGGTCAGTGTGAGTATGAAAAGCAACCTATCCATGATTTTCCTTCCTCTCCTCTTCCCTTCCCCTCCTCTAAAAATAAATAAATTATTTTTTTTAAAAAAAAGCATTTGATGAATCCAACATCCTTTTATGGCAAAAACATACAGCCAGCCAGCAACTGAAGAAAACTTCCTCAACCTGATACATGGTACATATGAAAAATTCACAGCTAACATCACATTTAACAAAGACTGAATAGTTTCTCCCCACAATCTGGGGAAAACAAGAATGTCTGCTCTTACCACTTCTGTTCTTTATTCTACATTCTAGCCAGGGCAAAAGGCAAGGAAAGGCAAAAGTAAAACTACCTCTATTTGTACATCATCTAGTATATAAAAAATCCTAAGGAACTGATAAATTACTAGAGCTAGTAAATAAGTCCATCAATGTTATAGGATACAGGGTCACTATACAAATATCAATTGTATTTCAATACACTAACAACAATATGGAAATAATTTTTTAATTCCATTTACAATAACATCAAAGTGTTAAAAATGTAGAAATAAGATTAACAAAAGAGGTATAAAGCTTATACTCTGAAAACTACAAAAATTGTCTAAGTTAAGGAAGTCCTAATTAAGGGGGAAAACATCCCATATTCATGGACTGGAAGATGTAACATTAAGATGGGAATACTCCCTAAATTGATCTGTACATTCAATTCAATCCCAGATTACCCAAAACAATCTTGAAAAGGAAGAACAAAGTTGGAAGACTCAGACTTCCTGATTTCAAAACCTAATTCAAAGCTACCTAAATCCATAAAATTCTCAGAAAACAAGGGTAAATCTTCATTATCTTGGGTTAGGCAATGGTTTTTAGATATAGCACCAACAGCACAAGTGACAAGAATAAATAGACTGGTCACCATCAAAATTATGAAATTCTGTGCACTAAAGAACCCCATCAAGAAAGTGAAAATACAACCCATAAAGTGGGAGAAAATATTTGAAAATTATATATGATGAAGAACTTGTATCCAGAATATCTGAATAACTCTTATAATTCAATAATAAAGACAACCCCGTTAAAAAAAAATAGGCGAAGAATAGGACAGAAATACAGATTTCTCTAAAAAAGATATACAAATGGTTAATAAACATGAAAAGATCTTATCATCAGTCATCAGGAAAATGAATTCAAAACCACAATGAGATACCACTCCACACCCACATTAGCATGGCTATAATCGAAATGATGGACAAGTACAAGCGTTAGCAAGAATGCGAAAAAACCAGAACCCTCACACATTGTTGGTGGGAATGTAGAATGGGGTAGCTGTTTGGAAAGCAGTTTGGTGGCTCCTCAAAACATTAAACAGTGTTACCAAAAAACTTAGCAGTTCTACTCTGAGGTATATACCCAACAAAACTGAAAAACGGTGTCCAAACAAAAACTTGCACAAGAAAGTTTACAGCAGTATTATTCATAATAGCCAAAAGATGGAAACAACCCAAATAGCCACCAACTGATTAATGAATAAGCAAAATGGGGCACATGCATACAATGGAACATTTGGCATAAAAATGAATGAAATACTGATATACATATGTGAGAACACAGATGAACCTTGAAAACATGCTAAGTGAAAGAAGCCAGTCATAAAGGAGCACATATTGTATGATTCAATTTATATGAAATGTCCAGCACAGGCAATTCATAGACAGAAAATAGGTTAGTGGCTGCCAGAAGCTAGGGGACAAAAGGGAATAGGGAATGACTGATAATAGACATAAGGTTTCTTTTTGAAAATTAAAAATGTTGTAAAATTAGACTGTCGTGATGAATGCACAACTCTGTGAATACACTAAAAAATTGTGTATTTTAAATGGGTAAATTTTATGATATAAGAAATGTATCTCAATAAAGCTGTAAAAAAAAAGATAAAGCCAAAATAGCATAACTTGTAACCAATTTCACTTTGTAAAAAAAAAATATTGTACAACTTATGAAAATGTCAGGAGAAAGCAAGCCATAATTCTGCCATTTACTTCCCTTTGAGAGATTACCTCAGAGCACTAATTTGCCTTTATGTCACACTTGCAAACTCACTGCCAGCAGTATATAACAAAAGATTATGAACAACAATTTGAAAAAAGAGTATGATTTTCACCAATTAAAAAATGTTTAATAAAAATCTGTTCATATAAAAAATAAATTTAAAAATAGGAGTGATGAAACCTCAAAATTTAAGTGTAAAAAAAACACATAATATACATTGGAAATGTCTGGCTTGTCATACAGTTTCACAAAAATGAAATTTTACAGCAGTTAATAAATTTTATGAAGAAAATATTTTTAAAATTAAAAAAAAAAAAAGATTAGGTTCCCATCAAACTCAAGTTACTCTAAATTACCCTGTGAGAATGAAATGAAGAAGGCCCAACCTGTCACTGATATAATCAGTCATCTACAGAAATTATACAAAGTAGGACATCAGTAACTAAAGACTTCAAGGAACAAAAATACCCTACTACTGAAAAGGTTATCTTCAGTGAGATAGGACTGAATGCATCCTTTTTTACTTTTTTATTTACAGATTTTTAGAATGAGGGCGATTTGTTGTTCCTCTTATTTACACATTCATTGGTTGCTGCTTGTCAGGGTTCAAGCCCTGACCAGGGATTGAATCAGCAACCTTGGACCATCAGGACAATGCTCTAACCAACTGAGCAACCTGGCCAGGACTGGAATGTATTATTTTTTAAAAGCTTCAACAAAAGTAATTAATTTTACACTCTCCCTGAAGAATATTATAACAAATGGTTGGCAAACCTATAAATGGGTAGTTGAAAGAGAAAAAAATGGGCATAGTCATCCCTAGAACTATCTGAAGTATAAAGATGGTACCCTGATCTACAAATACAGGATCTGAGAAGAAGAATATGTGCTGAACAGGAAAGAATATGATGATCAGTCAACTCATTTCCAAGCCAGACTGTTGATTTTATTCCCCCCCATAAATCAGCAATTCTTGTTTTATATGGTCCCGTGTAAGTGTGATTTACATATTAGTCTACCACCCAGTAATCATTAGACTGATATAATTAATGCTGGACTGGCATTCAAGTTCTAGCTAGCTCTATCACTACATAGCTATGTGACTTTGGGCAAATGACCTAGAATTTGACTAACTTAAATCAAGGCTTCTTTCAACCCCAAAGCTCATTGATTCAGAAACCTGAAAACTACAACAATAAGTAATACAGGGTTCAACAACCAATGTGTTAACAACACAAAACATTTGGGCTAGGGAACTGATATAAAATTTTAAATAATAAATGCTTTCTAAAAAAATTAGAACCTATGAAGACATACACATATAACAGAACTTAGTTCTAAATTATAATCAGAAACTTACATATATGACCCATTAGTAATAGACATAAAAAACACATAACCAACATTCTACAAGTCAGGAAAAACTAAAAATGTATTATATGGTTACCCAATTTTAGGAAAGGGAATATAAACTTTAGTTAGATAAAGTTAAAATTATGTTTAAAAACAAATGTGTAATACAAAGCCTAGAGATGGACTTTAAAATATTCCATGCGAGTGATCAAAAGTCAGGTGCTCATGCTTAAGTTTTAAATTGCTAAGTAGTGTGGGGGTTGGGGGGAGTAGAAAGGGTCAGGAGAGGAGGAGGAAGACAACTTTTCTTAAAATACATGACAAAAATAAGGAAAAGTAACAAAAGATCATAAATTGTAGCTGATCAGGAGCATGAAGATGTATGTAGCCAAAACAATTAGAACCTTGTAAGAAAATGCAAAGCCACAAGCGGTGGCTTAAATATATAAAAAAAAAGCGGTGGCTTAAATATATAAAAAAACAGATGTTCTCAGGTTTTGGCACCAAGGGGGGGAAAAAAAGCCAAATGCCAAATAATGACTGGATGAGTCACTTGATAAATAGGGTATAAACAGTGATAAAGCAAAACAGCTGATAGGCCTAACTTTAATCACTTCAGTATTTACTTAAGAAGGCATGAGAAAAACCTATTTCTAAATTATTCTTTAAATTATGAGTATACAAATCGAGGATAGTGAGTCAAATTCATTATTAAACACGACACTCCCAAACTAATATATTAGATATTAGGTAGTCATGGAGCCCAAAGTATTCTGCACTTTAAAAGAGTTTAAGTAGAACATTATCCAAGTGCAGGGAAGAACCTACTGGCCGATGGTCAGTCATATGAGAGGACTGACCTAGGAGGACAGAATCTGGATCTGTGTCCTTTAATCAGCATTTACGCAGCCCCTTGCTTTATTCCTGGCACACTTAGGCACTCAAAAAATATCTGAACAAAAACATGCCATCAACATAATTCCCACCTATTCAAGAGAAGGGGTCTAGCTGTGGGCTTCAAACTGGCCAAACTGGCAAATCTCTAGTACAGGATGAGCTCAGAAGACCTATCAGCATGACAGTCTACTGAGGAAAAGACAACATAGCTTCGAAACCTGGAACTCCCACCACACCGGTTCACCCAATTTCTCTGAGGAGAAAGTATGTGCATAGAATTTATGTGGGCTTTTTAAAAAGGCTTGATAAGATTATAAATAAGACCTTTAAAAAAAAAGAGTGACCACAAAATTTAAAATGTTTAACATAGATGGAACATGATTTAAACATAGAAAATTAATGGGTAGATACATAGGCATTTTCCCAAATAAATAACTATAAGCAGGAGACTGATCTTAGATAATATTTTGGAAATGCTATATTTAACAATTTAATATACTACAGGAAAGATATAGAGAATTCCCCATTTGGCATATGGAATGATAAGCTTCCTGATACTGAAAAATAAGGGAAGTGAGAAGTGAAAAGGATTTTTAAATGTATCAAATGAGAAATATTTGCAAAAACTAGGATTTAGCCCTGACTGATGTGGCTCAGTGGATTCAATGCCAGCCTATGAACCAAAGAGTTGTAGGTTCAATTCCCAGTCAGGGGACATGCCTGGGTTGCAGGCCAGGTCCCCAGTAGGGAGCACACGAGCAGCAGCAACCATACGTTGACGTTTCTCTCCCTTTCTCC